CCCCCCCTCCCTCCCTCTCTCCCTCCCCAGGCACTAGCCACACTTCCCCCCCTCACCAGGCACAAGCACCACTCGCTCCCTCCCTCCCTCCCTCCCTCCCTGCTTCCTTCCCTCCTTCCCTAAGCACTAGCCACACTCCCTCCTTCCTTCCCCAGGCAAGAGTCACACTCCTTCCCTCCCTCCCCAGGCACTAACCACACTCCCTCCTTCCTTCCCCAGGCAAGAGTCACACTCCCTCCCTCCCTCCTCAATCACTAGTCACACTCCCTCCATCCCGCCCTCCATCCCTCCTCAATCACTAGTCACACTCCCTCCATCCCGCCCTCCATCCCTCCTCCATCACTAGTCACACTCCCTCCATCCCTCCCTCCCTCCCTTCTCATTCAATAGTCACACTCCCTCCATCCCCAAGCACTAGTTCTGCTCCCTCCCGAGGTACCAACCCAAATTCCCCTCTCCTACCTTCCCTAATCAGTAGGTCCACTCCCTTCCACCCTCTGACACAGCTTCCTCTCTGGCAGAGCTCCCTCTGGCAGAGCTCCCTCCCCCCTTCCCTGAGTTCCGGCAGCTCAGGGAACAGATCAAGGCGGGGATATAGAGTATTAGAGTGAATGCTATTTATTATACTAATGATATGCAGGGATTAAATGGCTCTTACTTTCTTGTGCTGCTGATTCCCTCCACCGGCTAAAAGTGTTTGTGTGTGTGTGTGTGTGTGCGCGTGTGTGCGTGTGTACGTGTATTTTATTATTATTATTATTATTATTATTATTATTATTATTATTATTAATATTATTATTAATGTTTCGTTTCGTATTATTATTATTACTATTAATATTGTCATTAGTCGATGGGTGTCTGGTCACGGACCTTAGCTGGTTTCCGATATATGCTGTAAGTCCGTCGTTGTTTCTGAGTACTCGAGGCTGATGACCTACTCTAACTTAAAAAACTGAAGGGAAAAAAGACATAAATAAATAAAGTAAAATAAATTAAATTACAAGCGTATTGTAACACAACGTAGCATTACGTGACCAACCAAATAAAATAAGTAAAAGGAAAAATATAAGCCAAGCTAAGCTAAGCTACGCTCAGCTGATGCAAGCAAAGATCACAAATAAGAAAGTTTAATTAAAATAAAATATAACACAGAACCGGAACGATTTTTTTTATAATTACTTGCACAAATTATTTAGCAATAATTACTTTCCTCTTGTAATCGTTCGAAGTCGACTTTTGGAGTTTTTCAGTTATTCTGGTTTTACTAAAGTAGGTAAATACATGTATTCTAATTTCTAATTCAGAAAGAAAAAAATGTGCATTAATCTTACAACAACAGTTCACAACTATTACTAAAAAAAATGCCCTGATACCGTTCTGAACATATGGCTTCTTTAATTTGATGTTGTATCCTCTAGAGGGGTTCCCAAGCTTTATCTTGCACGACCCCATCCAGTGTTGTCAACTATCCAGTGCGACCCCAAACTATTTCACTGGCAGACCCAAAGGACCCCAGCGACCCCACCGACCTCATGACCTCTTTGCGACCCTACCTAATGAGCCTTCCGATCCCATTTGGGTCTAGATTCTAGTGAGTCAGGCATCTGCTAGTTCCAGTTATGAAAATTCCACTGAGCAATGACCTCATAGGTGCTTGAAAACTCTCTGGGTATACCTGAAGTGTCATAGTGCAGGCATCAGTCTGGTGGCCCTCTTTTGAGCGTTCTCAATCAACTGTAGTCTCTAGCATATCTCAGGGACCAAACGGGGTGACAGTACTCCAAACCGGGAAGCAGCAAAGCACCTTACTTTTGAAGAGCGCGAATGACCTTCGTATAGACCTACTACCTTATTTGCTTGATTTACCTTCTTCCCGCAATGGTCTGAGAACTTCAATTTATTTTCAATATTCACATATTGGCTTATGATTGAAATCTCCAGAAACCCCATCAATCAAATCAAGACCATGGATAATCTCCTCCGGCCTTGTCCCACCTCCTTCGATCACATTGGGCCTTAACACACTCCAGGTTGTGTACTCCACTAAACTCCTCTGCGTCACTATAGATGACAAACTGAGCTGGAAAGCACACGTCAGTAGAAACATCAATCTTCCAGCTATCGTCTCCACAACCTCCGTCGTCTCAAATCCCTTGGAGTTTCTTCTTCTGAACTCATAAATTTTCACACAACATTCATACTTTCTAGACTCACCTAAGTCTACCCTGACTGCTACACAGCAAGGACTCCTATAGAGGACGTACAGGACTGTTCTCTCTGTTTTTTACGCCACATATCAACAGGTGATCAGTATAATGACCCTCTCAGCTCTCTCTGAAATAGCTGTTAGACACCAAAACAGCGTCAAGCCCATACGACCACGTGCTATAAGAACAGACCTGTTACAACCATTGTAAAAATCATCAAGAACTCGTAGATAACTTGAGTGTTTACTTCTTGCCAATCTCCCCTTTGTACTGTAGCTACGCTGAAATTCCTTGTTAAATCACTCTCTCCCCTATTTCATTATATGTTATATATGTACAGTACCACCATGTCTTTTGTAGTTTTTCAGCTTACCTGTATGACTGTTATATGTTCAATAAATCGTTAATTATTATAATTTTATTACTACTATTATTACTATTTCTATTATTACTATTATTACTATTATTAGTTTTATTACTGGTGTATAATTAATAAGTAGTCATAAAGCATGTATCCTAGATTAGTACATACACTAGGCACCAACTAGAGAGATGGGTCGTTCCACCCGAGACACAAAGAGTACTGTGTATGCTCGTCACGCAGGTGGGCAGAGCTTCCGGGAAGTTCACTAGCATCACAGCAGATCACTCGAGGTTGGTTGACCTTGTTGAGACCTGATCTTCACTACAATAAGTTTACACGCTTGGTAGTTGTATTAATTTGTTCGGCCACATGAGAAATAATCCCTCCAACCTATTTCATAAGAGAGGAAGGTTATATTTAGTCCGGCATGATTTATATACTGTATAAAATGACTATTTTTTCATGATCGGTTGCAGTACATTACCCAAAAAACCGTATTTTCTTCACATACTACTATACGTTGCTTTGTTGTTGTTTTTTTGTTTGTCTTTGTTCATATTTTTCAATAAACATTATACAAGGTCCTATTTCAGACTGAAGAAGGAAATTTTGGTCATCAGTCTTTACACATTCTGTCTAACTGTTCACGTTGCATTCCTTTACATAGATACATAAATGTGTATGTTACTATACACTAATTTTAGGATCAAGAATCATAGTTTGTTCACCGTGAGGGTTGTATGAAGAACTGTAACTACATCATGGACAATGAAGAAGACATTTATTATTTTGCATGAATAAAATTTGTAATTAATTTAAACCCACAAGTAAATTTTATCATTCATTAAGAATATTTATACAGTATACCAAATAAGTTTGTCATCATGAAATTTCACTTGCTTTTATATTACACATGAAATCATATCAATCAGACCATAAAGTTTAGAAAGAGATTAAAACTATCATGAAGTTCATTTCCACGTACAATGACATTATTGCTTTGAGCCTCATGAGGTTCTTACATAACAAAACATAAAACTAAAAACAAGACAGTGATATGATGTCCCACAACAAATAATATCTAAAACCTCTTCAATAATAGGTACGAAATCTTTTAGTATTACAGTTTTAGACAACTTTTTTATGACTCAACAATACGAACATTATTAAAGAATATGATGGTGAGCCCCCATAAGATATTAATTACTTGCCAACCCTAAATAACTAGTAACCCTTTATATAAGTAGCTTAGTGAACTTCAAAAGGAATAATATTTTCTAGTAATTTCTAGACTTCCATAACACGTAATTCAAATTTAAAGAATAATTATCGCCACTACACAATTATTAAATCATGTACCTGAAATTTCCATTCACAAAAAACATTCACATACTGTACAGTATACGTAGATTTTTTTTTCTCTACAGAAGTCTAACAGTTTTATGACAATTCACTTTCAATTGAAGTATTTCTCAACAAAGACATTCTATATACAGATTAGGTGAAGGAAATTGTGAAATTTATTATGGTTTGCCTAACAAAATATTTACACCAACATAGCCCCTACATCTCAAACCTAACCTAACCTAACGGTCGATCGCTGTCAATTATTTAAGTTTTGAAACGCTAACCTAACCCAAGCTAACCTAACCTTACGTAGTCTAATCTAACCAGTCAACTAGACCGCCTCTGTCACCTGACTCGTGTAGGTCATCGACTCTCCACAAGCATGGTAAAACCGGCAATACTGAGAAACTTCCTGTACATGAACTCAACTCTCTCGTCTGTAAACTAAACAGGTGGCAAATAAAATATTCACTGTGTTACTGAATAACAATATTTATCTGTTATAATTCTCGTCTAAATATGCTTTGTCTATATCAATTCTGAAAAATCTAAAGTTTTTCAATGTTACTAAGTTCATATCATAACACTTGGTGATGAAACACACTGGGCACGTCTTACCACCTTATATTTATTAAGTTCAATATTCATTTGTTCATTATTATTGTCTTATTTTTGTGCCAGTCTACAGATTCCACTCTCGTATAGGAGAAATTTCGGGAAATCCCGAAGGGGGAAAAGGATTATTTTACTGTTACGTTACTTGTTTTCCTATTGACGTCACGAGACATGAACTGCATAACCCGTTACAGTGATCTGGCAGGGCTTTATATAGTAAACAATGCATACCTGTTTGTATTCGACTAATTTACGGTATTTCCCATTTATATCTGGTTTCCATCTTTGTCTATTACTCTTATGTGTTGATAAATATTAAAAGTATCGATCAAGGTTTCGTCTTGTATGTTTGTGCACACAATAAAACCTCAGCGAATATTTCTATTCCTGTATGATGACACTATATTACGGGACTTGTCACAGGAGGACCGAAGACCCGTTTATAACAAACCGTCAACTGATGTATGACGTCACGTGGAACTCCTCTTATATAAGCGCCAGGGTATTGCTCCTTGTGAACAGTACGACCTCTGCGACGCTGGTGGATTCGTCGCTGTGACCATAATTGCATTTGGTTCCTTGAGGTGAGTCCATACATATTGTCTGTTTATAGTTTAAGTACCTAGAAGGCCATAAGTTTGTGATGTAAGTACATTTACAATTTGACGTTAGACCAGATTGTTGGAAATATCTTAATGAAATTGTCAAATTTGGTTAAATCGGCAGGTTTTATTTGCATCAATTTGATCTTATAGGTAATAACAATTATAGATAGCATATCTATACGGTGATCGTGGTACCGATACGAGGCGGCAATGAGAGTCAAGCACAACTTTGTTTTGGCCGCCAGACACTACGTAAGAGTAAACAAAAACTGCAAACTACCATCATCAGATTATCTGGTTCAACTGTTGACGTCTGGGTAGATATAACCCTCCAACATTATACAGTACACATGAGGTTATACAGTTCTGCCGGAGGGGACCGTAGTGTATGGAGAAAATGCTCTATACTGAAACTTATAATTAATACTGAAGTTACTGGTTTGTTTATCTAATGAGTTCAAAATCAACATCGACTACCGGAGTCTCTGTGTGCTTGTATTTGAGATGGCAACACTACCTCAAAGGCGACAAGGTCATTTTATGCTCAATTATTCCCAACCGTCACCCTTACTGGCCCATCTCTTACTGCATTATTTACACAGCACGATGTTATCCAGAAACATTGATCAGTTGTATGAGCGCCAGCTGCATCAACAGTTCCTTAAAGTATATTAACAAATGGAACAGCATCAAAATCGGTGAAGACAGCACTTGTAACAGCATAAGTGGGGACAAGAGTAGTAAGAGACGCAGCAGCAAATTTTGTATTAGAAGCAGTAGTAGTAGGTGAAGGTGGGAATCCCTAATGTGTACATCAAATAATCAACAGTGCCTCCGGGGGAAGTGGGAGACCCCAGCTCGAGATACTCAGATAACCTACCATCTGTTCGGTGCCACTCAGCACCCTTTCACTGGCGACCTATTGTCCCGGCGAAATATTTCCCAGAATATTAAAGGAATGTAAGGAAGAACTTAGTATGCCCTTAACAAACTTGTTTAACATATCATTAAAATCCGGTGTAGTACCAGAATCCTAGAGGGTAGCGAATGTGATACCTATTTTCAAGAAGGGAGATAGATCACTATCCTCAAACTGCCGTCCAATTATTTTAACATCAATTATAGGCAAAGTACTGGAAGCAACAATTTCAAACTCAGCTCGAAATCACCTCGAGAAACACAAGTTGATCAATGATTCCCAACATGGTTGGATAGTTTGAGTACCTTTGTTAAATCACCTTTGTTTAGCCCTAACTTCCATTATATACCTCGATCATATCGCCCCTCACTCTGTCTTTCGCGGGAGTGCAAATTCATATGCTTTAACCTGTCTCTGTACTCAAGGTTCCTAATGCCCGTGATTAGTCTTGTCATTCTCCTCTGAAGTTATCCTTGAGATTCTATATCCATTCTCTAGTACGATGACCAGAACAGAACTGCGTAATCCAAGTAAGGTCTCGCAAGATATAGTTTTGGGATAACCTCGCTAGTCTTGTAACTAACACTCCTTTGTATGAGCCCAAGTACTTTGTTAGCCTTGTTTCTTGCAAATACACATTGTTTACTTAGTTTAAGATTCCTACTCATCATTACTCCTAAATCTTTCTCAGTCTGATTTCTCTATAACAACGTTGTTCATCTGATACCTGGTTTCTCTGTTTACACCTTCTAGACTAAGTATTTCACATTTATCCACATTACATTCCATCTACCATTTTTCACGCTATTCGAAAAATTTGTTTAGGTCTTCCTGTAGTTTTGTGGAGTCCTCGTCAGTTTTAATTACACTCCCTATTTTTGAGTCGTCAACAAATTTACTTATGTTGCTGTCTACACCTATATCTATGTCGTCTATGTATATAATAAATAGTAATGGGCCAAGTACTGAGCCATAGGGTACTCCACTAGTGATGTTACCCCAATTGGATTTAGTGCCGTTAATGCTTACTCGCTGTTTCCTGTCCTGTAACCACGCACTAACCCATTTTAGAATATCTCCTCCAATGCCATGAGCTTCCACTTTTCGTATTAGTCTTTCGTGGAGGACTCTCGTCGAAGGCTTTGCTAAAGTCGAGATATCCCACTTCATAATCGTGCCCGTCGTCCACTGATTCGAAAACAGCTGAAAAGAATGTTAATAGATTAGTCAGACATGAACGCCCGCTTGTGAAGCCATGTTGGGAATCATTGATCAACTCGTGTTTCTCCAAGTGATTTCGAATACAGTTTGAAATTATTGCTTCCAGCAATTTTCCTACAGTTGATGTTAAACTGAGTGGACGGTAGTTAAAGGATAGTGATCTATCTCCCTTCTTGAAAATCGGTATCACATTCGCTATCCTCCAGGATTCTGGTACTACACCCGTTGATAATGACATGTAAAACAACTTTGCTAAGGGCATACTAAACTCTTCCTTACATTCCTTTAATACTCTGGCAAATATCTCATCGGGACCTGGTGACTTATTAGGCTTTAGCTCTCTATTTGTTGATTAACATCGTTACTAGTCACTATTATCTCGCTTAAACTATTTTCTTCACTATCTCTGTATATAGTCGGTGCCTTGGGTATCATGTTTAAATTTTCGGTGGTGAAAACTGTTGAAAAATATCTGTTCAGATTATTGCTCATTTCTCCGTCGTTATTCGTTAGTCATGGTGTAGTGAAGTAGTTTATACGTTGCCTGTCAATTCCGAGGGAAAATTTGCTTTCGGCCAAATGTTTACTTTAGGATTTTGTTCAGGATCTCAATATAGGTTCTCCTGAACATGCTAATTAATGATCACGTACTGTAAGTTAGTTAATTTACTAGACAACAACTACAGTAAGGAGGAATTTGTTTCTAATTCTTCAAATATATCATTAAGATACGTTCTAGGATAATCATTAACTATATATATATATTGTTGTATCACAGGAATATCTAGATTTGCCTCGCAAAGATGGGGCTGCCTTTGGTGCTGTTGCCCTTACTGCTGGGTGCTCTGCCACATACCTACGCAGCTCTCAGTGAGTATATACAAAAATAGACCTAATGGCAATAGCATGTACTGTATATACTGTGGATTTGTGTTTTTTTACAGCCACTACAGTATTGAGAGCAGTGTTAGAAGCTACTATGGGCTCGTGCAAGGTTAGCTGACAAATATACCATAGGAAGATAATAATGTGAAAATAAATTAAATAATCTTGGTCAGAAAAATATTACGATTATGTGTTTTAATTGTCTTTGTAACACAGATTCCTGCTCGTACAAGGGGCAGACGGTGGCTCACGGGTCAGTGATGTTCTCAGTGGCCACCAAGTGTATGCAGGTTGTGTGTGACAATGGATCACCTGCACCCAAGTCTTTCCATGGGGCGGACACTTGTGGCTGTAAGTTGTATGCTGCAGTGCATTATGTGTATAGTTTCATCATTAAATATTTTCTGTTCTTTGCATGTGGTAAAACTTTATTGGTGATGCTATTATTACCATTCATAGCTAAAGGTTGTATGGAGTGCTCGTTTTAAGTACTATGGTCTTTTGAAGTTCGTCGTTTGACTAATTACCGCCCTTCCATCGTGGCTATACTTTATCTGGTGGATTCTTTGTCTTTACCCTTAGGTCTTCTGAATGTCGATGTTCATTAACAATACCTGAAACTGGTGAAAATTATTTTAACAGAAAAGGACAACACAGCACAGGTTTAAATATTTAAGATAAGGTTGTGGCTTTCCAGAACCTTAATGGTTGTTGAATATATAATCTAACTATAAATTTCTTTGCAGAGCATAATGGTGTCTTGATCTGTTTTAGGTTGTGAGTTCGGGAATGTTATATATCCTCCCGGCCGGGTATTCCTGGCTGGCTGCGTTAAGATGACCTGCGAGAAGGCCAAATGGAAGGCTGTAGGGGAAGTGGAGAAGAGATGTAAGTAAAGCACTTCTGTCATCAGTGGTCGTATGTTAAATGGTTTGTAGTCATAACTTATTATATTAACAACGACCAGATACAATCATAGATGTATCGTTAAATGATTTTAGTTGTTGGACTCACCAATACATTATAACAGCAACATCAACATCTTGAGGGTAGAATTACTTTTTTTTAAGTTTGATTGTTAATTCCTACTATAAGGTATAAGGGCGCGGCAGCCGGGTGGACACATTGTTCGTCTCCTTAGTTTATGTTCCATCAGTGACGCTGCTGTGAAAAGGTCTCTAACTTTACACTTAAGGGTAGTGAGGTATTCGAGTGTGATGGCCGGCCAAAATGCCTCCTTGTTTTCCAAAAAACAAAAAATTAATACTTAGTGTACAGTCTAAGAAACAACGATCATTCCCAGTTTTGGCGAATACATCGCGGAAAAGTTTAGTCCTCCGACGCACGCATCTGTGTACCTCGTAAACAGTTGGAAGGAAAGGGTAGCCAGTTACACCATTGATTCGCGTAAGTATTTACTTTCTTTGATGACCTCTCTCAGGGATTCCCAAACCCCAGAGACGATGGCGGTGGACATTGTTGGTTCAAATAAACCCTAAGGGTGAGTGATGGGCAGAGTGCATCCTCACCTTGGTGGACTTCAGCACGAGGCGGTGGACAATAAACCCAAGGGTGAGTGATGGGCAGAGTACATCATCACCTTGGTGGTCCTCAGTGACAGAGAGAGCCAGTTCTACGTCAGCCAGCTGAATGAGTATTTCTCGTCATCGATCGGGGAAGGTCCATTCCACATTGCAGAGCGAACCAAACTTACCCTAACCTAACACCGTAGCATTTACGTGTCTAATCAGCAGTCGAAGTAAGCTGGGAGAACTAATCTTCATATGATCCGTTTTTCTGACACTCTGTATACTTGAAGAATTGTTTATTTTCATATTGCAGGTAAGTTGTGTGAGGTGTTCAATGATCCTCACTTCTGGTCATTTGATCGACAGAGGTTCGACTACCACGGGGATTGTACATACACCCTCGCTCAGAATTATTTCAGCTTGACACCTCAATATGGAATTTTCGCAGAGTTCAAGTGAGTGACGATTTGATATGTTTAGTGAAAATTAAACACAAAATACACGATCATCGAACAAGAAAATCCCCATATTTTTTACTGGTTTGTATTAAAATACGGGTTGTCGTTTTTTCGATGACCCTGTATATAGGATTTTTAAGTTATTTGATCATACTTGACTATGAAAAGCATACATTTAGATGAAGAGCAAAAATATATATACCAATGATCATCACTATCATATAAAGAGAAAGAATTATATATGTATTTTTTATGATAATATATTTATCTAATAATCGCTAAATATTTCTTCTTGAAGCTTTAAATAAACTGTTATTTCTATATGAACTTTTGAAACTGAAATAGCATAGAAAAGAAGTTAGGTAAAGTTAAATAGAAGTTCAATAATGAGTTTTGAAAAGCTGAGCATGAGTTCAGAAAGGAATTAGATAAAATATAAGTTCAAAAAGGAGTTAGAAGCCGAGTACCGTATTATTCCAAGCAATTACCCAGACTAAGAGAAAATGTATCTTACAGGCGGTGTTACACTGTACCGACGTGCGTCCACAAGACCACTTATCAGGACAACCCCAACCTCTCCATCGAGATCGGTGCTACTGGCCTCGCTGCTCCCGATATTTACAACGTAAGCTAATTAACACTGTTAAATTGTCACACAGCTGAATATGGTAACACAATTATTATCGTGAGTACAAATAAAAGATATATTAATAAATATTTGAATGATTGAATAAATATTGGAAATAAAAAATAAAAAATCCGTTAAGTAAATTGAATGTTTGTATGTGATTAAATGATAAATTATAATAAAAATGATAGAGAATAATAACTTAAGCGTTAGTAGGGAAAAACCATTCTGCACATATGGCAAGATCGCGTTTACATCATAAGTGTTACTGATGTACGAGTAACAGTTTATCTTCGTCGTTGGTGAGTGACGATAGTTAGTGGAGCCGGTAACACAGTTAGTTACATTACTATATAATGTTTCCCTTATTCAGAGATTCACTGATGACTAACCAGTGTCTTTCTGCCACCAGATACTGGTCAACGGCCAGAAGACCACAGTCACCGCTGATGATTATGCTCAGAAAGTGACTGTGGGAGGCGTCGAGCAGGACGTCTTGGTGTGGCGTCAAGGGGCGTGTGTGAGGGTACTCGGATCTAAAGGACTTGTGGTAAGACTGTTACTCTCTACCACAGTTTTTCTTTACCAGGTTTCTTATGTTCCTTATAATTAATTGTAGGTTGTCGATGTTTACAAGTTTTATGTTCCTTTAACAGTTAATTTATGAATACTTTATAGCCTTCGTGCTTTATAACGACCTACAGCAACAAGACTAAGATGAATATATGATTTTAGTACTTTAATGCGTCAACTATCTTTGTATATGTGCTCAAAGGCCTTAGTTGTTGAAGCAGAGACAATAAAAGCTCACAGCCATGATCCAAAAGACGGATCCCTTAATGCTCCATAGTTGGTGTTTTGTGTAAGATCTACCTTAGAGTTTATCAGCGTTTTAAGACCTTTGTTGTTAATGGGTAATCATAACGTTAATATGACACCATTTACAGTCGAGAACAGAAAGATGTATCTGCTTAAAGACCTTAATTGTTGAAGCACAGAAATACATATAAAGAAGAACAACAACTTTTAACATATGAGGAAGATAAGGTCCTTAGATATTAATATATTTTACCTGATATGTGAAATGAATTAATCAGAAACTTGGATGATACACATAAAAATATATAAAATCACCATCAACGGTATAATAATGTTCGTGGAACCTTCACGGGTGAAGTACAAAATAACACCAAATAATGTTCACATCAGGTAGGTCGTCACTAGTTAGTCACATTACCAAGTTCATTTAATAAATCTAAAACAAACAAAATAAATTATAGATTTGTCACCTACAGAACCTAGTGGTTTTGGTCAACTTACCACACAGATGTTCTCTCTATAGATCATTTACAAACTTGCTGTAACGTAAGCTTGCGTGACCTCACTTCTACTACTAATACCTTACTACAAAATGATTTGGGTGTAGATCTATTTGATAATTCATGTCAGTTTACCGTGTGAGACTTATTACAACTTTTATTAAAATTTTCACTAACTGCTGTGTCCACATGTATAACAACTGCGTTCACGCGTTCGCTAACTATCTCCATAAATCTCATATGCTCTTTTCTTGATTGTTTCTATTCGACTCTTCTATTATGTGCAACTTTTCTCACCATCTTATATAATTACGTGTTACAATTAAGTACATAACTCATTCACTCTCTCACATTCTGTCTCTCTCTCCGTGCCTCGTCTCACAGCTTCAGCAGTGCAAAAATCGCATTGACGTCTGGGCACACCCTAAACTGTCCGGTATAGTCCATGGATTGTGTGGTACTCCCGACGGTAATGCAAACAACGAGTTCACCACCCGAGACCAAGGGCAACTCCCACACCAACATTACGCACCAGAGGAGTTCGCTCAGTCCTGGCTGGTATGTTGTTACTTGGTCAATCCTCGCTGTCTACTTACACGCTTAGGATACAAAATGCATACAAATGCCTATTAATAAGGACAAAAAAGCAAACCATTTAGAAGGTCGACTTCTTCCCCACTTAATAAATAGAAACTGTACACACACACACACACTCTCTCTCTCGTCCTAAAAGTTTTTGTCCAGTGCAAAAATTAAGACATAATGAAAGATACATTCAAAACTCTTAACTAAATAAAAAAAAGTATGTAAACCTTATTTTATATTCAGTTTGCTGATCCTTGAAAAATAAAACAGTACAAAAAAGAAGTACATCATGAAAGATGGTCATTATAATCTATGTTTATTTGCTGACATTTTGATTTCGTGACTGATATATATACCTTTTGTTTTATTAGTCAGGGAAACAGAACGATCAAGAGTGCACGAAAGACGGAGGGAAGAAGGCCGCAGCACTCAATGAGGTATGTATCACACCAACGGAATCTACTGTAAAACTTAAGCTAACAGTAATAATTGTATTCCCTATAAATAACGTCTTTATCGGTAAACCTTAGATGAACTCCTGGTAATGGGGGTAATTATTCTCTCTTTAAAACCCCAAGGGCCAGGCTGTAGACTATAGAATTACCTGAAGACAACGAAGCTCGCCTGTGGCTGCTTTTCTTTGACGTGGTGACTTCATTTGGTTAACTGATTATTCACTGTGATAGTAGTGTTAAGTAATCATCTTTCATAGTACAGTGAGAGCATAACGCCATGTGTACTTCATGTTGATGAGTTAAACAAGAAGTTTCCGTGAAGAATAACTGTGCTTTTTGTCTTCTTAATTTTCTTGGTGGGGATGAAGGGGGGAAAGGTGGTCATTGTGCATATCTCTACAATAAGAAAAGGGTTGATCTTAGGTGTATACACTGTATATATATTATATTGCGCGAAAAATTCACCGGTACATATTCCAAAACTCATCTTTCTTTTTGTACAGGAAGCTAAGAAAATTGTGAACGAGTGTAGGGGAAATAGAGTTAACTGGACCCACTTTGCAGACAAGTGCACTCAAGCTGTCGGTGGAGCCAAAGTAAATGGACAGGGACCCACCCAGGACCTGACCGTAGCTCTATCAGGTGAGTCGCTAATGATGTATCTTGTATTTGTTTTGTAAATGACCCACACTTAGCCCGTGGGTCGCATCTCATGGGCGGATTCAAGAAAACCCACTAAAAGAAGTAGCTATACATTGTTAACTTTCACATAGTCAGTTCATCTCTAACCCCTGGAGCTACTCTGAACCTCGCCTCTGCTGATCCCTAATAGTGAGGTTGTCTTCAACCTCTACAATGGGAGAAGACAAAAACTTCCTCCTTTAATAAAAAATAATGAAATACGTCCACGTAAGCTTTTGTGTCCTCTCACGGATATAAACTGATACAGTATATATATATATATATATATATATATATATATATATATATATATATATATATATATATATATATATATATATATATATTTGTGTGTGTGTGTCATCCTCATATCTCTGAGAGTTGACGACCATGAAATTTTAGGACTGTCTTTACCAATCACCCCAGATTTTCTATCCCTCTTGGGACTACAGCTTTTAATTTAATTCCTCCATCCCAGTCTCTGCCTTTCCCTCTCTCTCCTACCCTCAATTTTTCCAATTAAAATCTCTGTTAATATTCCCTCGTCCCTAAATCTATATACATAGTATGTGATTTTTTGGGTTCCATAGATTCCCAGAATTTATTTAGCCAATCTTAGTACTTATAATTTTTTTGGTTCTATCAGCTAACTTGAGAGTACATCATTGAAGGCCTCTACCCTCCTGGTGTCTGCTGAAGGTGTCCGCACTTCTCACGCATACGAATCTACTGGCCAAAATTGGCATTTCAGCAGCTTTTTTCTCAATCTAAAATTAATATACATATTTAACAGATCTCCAAGACTATCCCACCTCATTTTTGCCTGACCATTTCTTATTGTAATGTCTACATCTACCATCACCATTTGTTATTTTCAAAATACATAAATATTCCAGTTATTAAAGTTTCTCTTGTTGAATGTATTTTTTAGGACGTACTATTAATTTGAGCATAATCAATACTTTCTTCTTTACAGCATAACTCTAAACCCGTATTTTTCACATTTTTTCCACGAATGATGAATTGTTTTGTACAATACCTTACCATTACCTACAAGAGTAGTATCGTCTGCCTACCAATTATGTGATGTTACTTCACTGCTAACTTTTATTTCCTCATTACGAATTGCAGTTTCACTCATTAAAGATTCTGATTAGAAATTATACATTGGTGGAGACAGCAGGCAGCCTTGGTTAACCCCATCCGTACGGTGGAAGGGTAAAACACTAGTGTACAGTACATAATTGGTGTAATACTTAAAATGATCATTATACCTAGAGTGAAAACTGTCGATTTAACATAATCAACTAATGTTTACAGTACGTATATTTGTTACCTAAACGTAATCTCGTTTAAACGTCCACAACTTCCCCTAAACAACACGTAACACCTGAATTACATAGGTAATATTCTACCCAAACTTCAACTATTAATTTTCAATAAATAACAATATTATCATTATCTGCTTTCTGAGCACCACCATTGATGACTACCGGTATTACCAGTATCTATCACCCTTGATGACTAACGGTATTACCAGTATCTATCACCCTTGATGACTACCGGTATTACCAGTATCTATCACCCTTGATGACTACCGGTATTACCAGTATCTATCACCATTGATGACTACCGGTATTACCAGTATATATCACCCTTGATGACTACCGGTATTACCAGTATCTATCACCCTTGATGACTACCGGTATTACAGTATCTATCACCATTGATGACTACCGGTATTACCAGTATCTATCACCATTGATGACTACCGGTATCTATACCATTGATAACTACCGGTATTACCGTATCTATCACCATTGATGACTACCGGTATTATCAGTATCTATCACCATTGATGAGTACCGGTATTATCAGTATCTATCACCATTGATGACTACCGGTATTACCAGTATCTATACCATTGATGACTACCGGTATTACCAGTATCTATCACCATTGATGACTACCGGTATTACCAGTATTCATCACCATTGATGACTTACCGGTATTATCAGTATCTATCACCATTGATGACACCGGTATATATCCAGTATCTATGACACCGATTGATGACTACCAGTCTATCACCATTGATTACCAGTATCTATCACCATTGATGACACCGGTATTACCAGTATCATCACCATTGATGATCACTATTACCAGTATCTATCACCATTGATGTTACCGTAGTATCTTGATGACCACCCAGTATCTATCACCATTGATGACTACCGGTATTATCAGACTATCTATCACCATTGATGACTACTGGTATTACCAGTATCTATCACCATTGATGACTACCGGTATTACCAGTATCTATCACCATTGATGACTACCGGTATTACCAGTATCTATCACCATTGATGACTACCGGTATTATCAGTATCTATCACCATTGATGACTACTGGTATTACCAGTATCTATCACCATTGATGACTACCGGTATTACCAGTATCTATCACCATTGATGACTACCGGTATTATCAGTATCTATCACCATTGATGACTACCGGTATTACCAGTATCTATCACCATTGATGACTACCGGTATTATCAGTATCTATCACCATTGATGACTACCGGTATTACCAGTATCTATCACCATTGATGACTACCGGTATTACCAGTATCTATCACCATTGATGACTACCGGTATTACCAGTATCTATCACCATTGATGACTACCGGTATTACCAGTATCTATCACCATTGATGACTACCGGTATTACCAGTATTTATCACCATTGATGATTACCGGTATTAGCAGTATCTATCACCATTGATGACTACCGGTATTAGCAGTATTTATCACCATTGATGACTACCGGTATTAGCAGTATTTATCACCATAATCACTCTTATCACACTCCCGTATTCCCCGGCTCTCATCACTACTCCCTGTCACCCACAGATGCATGTAGGGACGACCTGTGTATAATCAGCAAGAAGACACCTGCACCAGAGAAAGCAACGCAGGCCTGGCTAGGGGAAGTGACCAATATGTCTGCTGAGCGCGTCTTTATAGAGCAAATGGCAACAGGTCAGCAGTCACTTAAACTTGAAGTCGTTGATAATCATAATAATAATTATCATAATAATAGAAAGGACGAGTTACATGTAGACACACTTTCATGTTTCCCTGGCCTATGATAATGTGGCCTTTTTTATCAACAGTGTGTGATCCAGATAAGGGCGAGTGTGTTGACATCGGGCCACCACCCAAGGGTAAGACGAGAGCACAGCCAGAACACTTGTACAGTATATATATATATATATATATATATATATATATATATATATATATATATATATATATATATATATATATATATATATATATATATATACTGTATGTTTTGATCGTTTAACTTACACCATAATAATAATATGTGTCATAAAACACCTACTTATTAGTAAAATACTGTATTATAATTCCTTATATATATATATATATATATATATATATATATATATATATATATATATATATATATATATATATATATATATATATATATATAATTTCATTTACACACACAATATATTAAGGGCCGTGTTTTTGTTACAGAATGTATTGGCGAGAAGTGTTACATAGACCTGATCTTCAACCCCGGTGACTTCGATGGCACTTATACATAGTCACACACACACACACACACACACACACACCCACACACGTATGTTCACTTTATGTTCATTTTCCTTTTTGCAATAAAAGCTTTTGTTATACAGCCACTCCCCTGTGCCACTGTATGTAATAAGTCAACTCTGCTTAGTATGTATTTTCATTCTTTTGACTTCAATACATTTGTCAATAAGTCGTTATTTAATAATATTATTGAAGTATATTCTATCGAGTCGTATATATTGAAACTACGACTTTTTTCATTTTTGTATTTTTTTGGACGAAATTGTATGTTTGTGTCAGCTCTACGGCCTGAGAACATTAAGAGTGATATGTTTAGATAGTCAGAAACCTTTGTTTTCAGTTTGCCTGAGTTATACAGTACACATACAGGTTCACTTAAAATTGCATTCTTTAATGTGTTGATCTAGTGCGGGGATTGAGAAATAAAGGATATAAAAATCAGCATTGTTTTCATTATTGTTGTAAGACAGTGAGGGTGAGGAGAACCCTTCTGTAGATGGGTGTGGGTGGACAGCCGAGCAATTAACCATGTGAAGCAGGTGATTCGGTAGACAGGTTGGCTAGTCAACGGGTGGATTAGTGGGAAGGCAGAAAATAGACGGGTGGGTGGAAAATTGAGTGGTAAGGGGGAGGAGGTGGGTAGAAAGGTGGGTCATAAGGGAGAGATGGTGAGCCGAGAGATGGGTGATAAGAGGGAAGGGGTGGGTAGAGTAGTGGATGGACAGGAAGGTAGAAGTGCACCAAAACACATCTACACCTTAAGCCAACACAGTATCAGAACCTATCTTAATCTCTTGCTGGGAATGATGAGAGTTAACAGCTAACACTCATACCTGTTTGATGAAGAGGTACGAAGATTTATGGTGTTACTATTTATGAGAGATCCACTTTGTGTCAACACGTTGTTGTTGTTGTTGTTATAATGTTATTACCGCGATTCAACAACTATGGTCTTGAAGAGAGTAACTGGTTCAGTAACTACTGTACACTATTCCATCAATAATTAAAATTTATGAGAGATAAAACTCTCGAGGTTTTCAATACGCTTGTAGTCGTGACTTAAAAAAGTATTTCAATGGGAAATCATATCGAACGTAAAGTACGCGCGCGCACACACACACAGACACACACATTGTTTCTCTAAAGTCTACTGTAAAACTGTGACAAAATTTACATTATCATAAATGATTGACATGTCAAAATCAACTTTTCCTCCTAAAATTAAAAATTCAAGCTGCGCATCACATGAAGCTTTCATGAACAGCGTTGAATTCTGACGGCAAAACATTTTCTCAACTTTACTTAAAACATGAAGATAAATCATGAATATTGGGGGAATCACACAAGTGCTCAAGGATCAGCAGAGAGCGGTGAGCGTTAGATAAAGTCAAACGACGTAACACTGGTACGACACTGGGATGACACTGGTATGATACTGGTACGACACTGGGATGATACTGGTACGACACTGGGATGATACTGGTACGACACTAATATGATATCCCCACTAGACACATGTACAGTACAGATCGAATTCTGGATTTTTAAGCCACGTCAGATTAAATAATAAGGTCTTATTACCAGACAAAATGGAAGGATTCTGAAAGAGGGTCTCGCATGTCTGACGTCACATTCCGACCAGTGTGGACAGACCTACAGTACACTGTAGAAATGAGAAAACAAGACACCAATGAAAAACAAAACGAAACAGATATTTTAACGAGAGAGAGAGAGAGAGATAGAGAAAGAGAGAGAGGTCAGTAAGAACAGGCACATAAATCCGGCTTTGTTTAGTCTTTGTTCACAGACAAAGAACAGTAAAGTGGTACTCGTGAGGGAGGGGAGGAGAGGTGGGGGACAACTGAACTCCTGTTTTAAAAGCTCCCCCCCTAACCCCTTCCCTCATGGAAAAGAACAGAAAACGAAACAGATGAGGAGATTCGTGACAAGAGACGTGAGGATATCTTGAGTCTACTGGAGAATGAGTCCCACAGTTAGTGAAGTTTAGTCTCCGAGTCTGACAAACCAACATGAGGATTATTTTACGAAGGGAGTGTGTCGTGTATTGGCTAATTATCTACGGTAAATGGATTATGATGTGCGAGTGTTTGTGTAGCTTTAGTGCTAAGGTTCACGGGAACTCACTCTCTCTCTCTCTCTCTCTCTCTCTCTCTCTCTCTCTTGTTCCAGAATAGACAGAGCAGCCAACCAAAACACAGTTTACCTTTTCTTATTCCTCACCACCTCGACTCCCACATTAATTTCACACACTTGCCCATATGTGACGCTGACCTAAAATCACTACGTGTGCAGTATGTCTCCGTTTGTCAGTCAGGTCGAGGAGCTTGACGAGTTCCTATTGTTACGACCCTTCAACTCCTATGACCAATTAATCAGGAGGACCCTGAAATAACAGCCTTGGTTAACAGTGAAATATTTAGACTATGATTACATACCATAGACTGGCCATCACCTGACACCTGGCGTTACTTTGAAAATACCCTTTCAGTCCAATGAGGTTGTATAGAAATTCACTGACAACAATAAACAAAGTATATCAAAGAAAAAAAGAATAGACTGACTGCTCAAATTACATGTTGAAACTTGGCCATGGCCACCCAACACAACACAACGTATATTTATCCTCTCAATAATTATAAGGCTTTCTCTTTTACAAAACCATACACCCCACACACAATGCCACCATAATAAGGCACAAATATATCCTGATACTGCTCAGCCTTGTACCTGCTTTTGCATCTACCTCAATCTTTTTCAACCTAACCTCTTCGTCCGCCTCAACTCGTAATCTCTCTCTCTCTCTCCGTCTCAATCTGCAACTTTTCCAATTCAAAGTCTATCTTCATCCTCTCCATCATTATGCGCTCACTAGTCCCAGTTTCATTTCCTCCCTCCCCCTTCACACTCACTCTCTTCCTCAGTTCCACTTATATCTCTAAGCTCTTTCACCAAATCTTCTTGCATTTCACTTTTACTACCTGACTTCACAATAACTTCATAAGCACAAGCAATCTCACCAAGTTCCTCATTAGTACATTGATATAGGTCATGTAACCATTTGGTTTTCATAAATTTTATCACATTACTCGCCATTTTGACACAAATTACCTTACCCCCACAGTACACAACATTGCACCTCCCAAACAAGACTATATCCTCTCACCTTCCTCCTCGTCACCACTCCCCACCATCACACTCACATCCCTTGAATACCTTCCTGTTTTTCAGATACATTCAGCTCTTCTTATTTCCTCTTTGTAAATTATTCTTTACAACTGGCTCTCTCTCTCTCTCTCTCTCTCTAACCCCTGATATTACTGTAGTGACGCCCATGTCTCTTGTCCTATCACCGTTATTATTGTGTTGAAGTGTTCTTTCCCCCTTGCTAATTTCATCCTCTCTCACCAACTTCCTCTCATCTTTGACCTGATACATCCTAACTTATCATTTCTCTTTTTTTCTTATAAACCCAGTATGTGGTATTTTGTTTCTTTGTAAAGGTTGACGCTCAAGCCACATCGTCCTTAAGTTCTGGTTTAATGTACACAATACAGAATACAGTATTGGCAGTAATCAGATGCTGTGGAGTAGAGTAGATAGGGAATAACCTTAACAGAGTCACATAGACCAGAATATAATACAATACTAATATCACATTTATAAAATAAAGGCACACATACTACAATACCATACTATCACTGTACAGTACTATATAATATAAATACAGGCAAAAAGATACATTCCAAGCGAACCAAACAACAAACGTTTACTTTCATCATTAACAGCACTTACTTAACTTCGATGTAATCGCCAAAACATCACTTGATGTCGCAGTGACAAGATTGTCTCGACAATCAATTGATACAAATACACATGGACGTACTGTAACAACCCTGCCCGCCATCACCCTCGTCAGCCTGTGTCTCGACTCCACTCCAAGCGTTCGCCTCCTGAATATATAAAAAAAAACTTAGTTCTGTCTTTCCACTCGTCTCTATTGTCCTAATTCCTTCTACTTCCACCCCACAAGTGAATACAAAAGAACTCTTCTCAGACGTTAATTTTCTGTCTCTAACACTGCACGTCGCCCTTTAAACATTATAATAACATTACTGATATTAAATCTTGATAATGATAGGTAGCGAGCCAGCTTGTTCGTGAATGTTTTGGAGAAGACAGAGAAAACTATTTAAGGTTTTAGAAGGAACAAATTGTTAATTTTTAATGATACAGTGCAACAAAGGAATTACAAGCAGAAGGGATATAGGAAATGTATGTTTGCAGACATAAGAGTTCTTTTTGAGCGATTGGAACAGGAGTATGGTGAGGTTCAGTTACTTCCCGGACAGTGTTATAACGGAAGCCAAGCAGTTTATAATCTGGAAATTGGTGAATCATGTGAAAGCTATGTTAGGTGGTTTGATTGGAAGGTCTAACATGGTAATGACAAGTCTGTTATTCCAGATGACAATGAATCTGTTTATTACGATTGCTACTTTCAGTTTTTCCGAAAAAGATTTTTATTCGGGGCTCTTTCGGTACAACGGGATTTACTGTATTAAATTTTATAGAAATTCACGTTAAAACATACCTTCATCACTCAGGTTAAAAGATATGAGTAAGTATTAGATAAATGGCGTGGGTGTGAACAGATAATCATAGAAAACAAGACTACACAACATTAAAGTACTTGTACTTAACACGGGCAGCATCTTTTGTTAATTGTTTGGAAAAAATCAATGGGGATAGTTTCCTTGGAGGCTAGAAATCACACCATACACAGATAATTTTGTCAATAAAATAAAAAAAGAACATAATATTGTGATGAATTTCAAGTCATCACACACACACACACACACACACACACACACATATATATATATATATATATATATATATATATATATATATATATATATATATATATATATATATATATATATATATATATATATATATATATTGTGACGACTCTGTCCCCTCCTCACTCTACTACCATGACCATCACTTGTTCCAACTAGATACCAGGAGAAGAAACTGCTTCACGAAGCTACTCGACCCCAGTGAGCACCGTTTCTGAACCAGTTTCCTTTCCGACTTTGAGACCAGTTTCCCATCTGACTATGAGACCGAGGTATCGAGGCAAGTGGTCTGCCTGATAGGCTAGTCTCTTTTCTGCGGCATACGGTGTTCTTCTCGCGGGGTGTGGACGGCGGATTGTATTTAGGACTAATGCTGGTGGTGTTGTGATGGTTTGATGGTGGTGGAGTACGGCGTTGATCCTTGTGGTTGGTCATCGCTACCTGAACTTGCTACCTGAGCTGCCATTTTTATCAGGTTTTTCTGTTGTTGTACTGTATATAGTAGGTGTATTTAGACAAATGATTAGGTGTTACTTTTGTTTTGATAATTGCATATTT